GACTTTCTGTGAAGTGGCGCATGTGTTTGGATTTTAGCCTGCTGACCGGCAGAAGCTTTCGATCTAACAATCCAGTGCGCCATAGCAGCACAAGTCTGCCAGCTAGTTGCACATGTGTGCTGTGCAATTTGTGCCAGTCTGGCTTGGTGGGTAGTAGTAGCCGTGTTATGGCTGCCGATATCGTGCCGACATCGGAAAAGGAAAAGGGAGAAACGGAGGCAGCGCCAAGCAATCACGAAATTTGCTGATGTGGTACGTGTGGAAAAGGAAAGGAGTGCAGGTAACAGCAGGCGAGCTTAAAATGGCATAGAATCTCAATGGCCAAGATGATGCCTGCTTGTTCAGGTGGAATGGGAGGCGAACCTGATCTTCTTAGCTGAGAATTTTGCGCATTTAGCTAATCAGTAGCCAATTGGTCAGAACTTCGCACAAAGTGCATGCAAAAAACGCAGCTTCACCCAATTGCAGAAAGATTGGCAGCAAACGTCCAAGAAGGTGTGTCGTGAACTCGGCAGCCGGTAGGACGATCCAATTGCAGCAGCTGCCGGCGAAGCGTGACTAGTTGCTTGGAAAGTTGTAGTGGTGGTGTGATATTAGTAGTGGATGCTAGGGATGATGAGGAGCGGGGGCAACGACCGAGCATGCATCTTCTTTCTTCTGACTCTTCCTCCTCTCGGATCTGCTTTCTTCTACTATTCCCTTCTTTCTGCTGCAAGATCCAGCACTGGGATAAAGCAAAAAGGGATTCATTATAGAGAGGATGGTTTCAGGACAAATCTGGAGTATCATTTTGTTTTGAAAAAGTGGTGCTGGCCGTTTGGGGGCGTGGAAGGAAGAGCCAGCGCTGGGATAGCACAAAGAGGGAGGCAATAGAGGGAGAATAGTTGCAGGTGCTGAAGAAGTGCCCCTGGATGGTAGTGGAGCCGGGTGTAGCGAGATGAGAATGCATTCTTCTGGTTGCTTGGAATGGCTTGGCAGAGGTACTCATGCCGGCTGCCGTCCGTATTCATGCGCGTAGAACTTGCGGCGGCAGAGGGAGGGAGGGTATGAATGAGCGGCGAGGGAGGGAGGGAGGAAGCCGCGGACTGAGCCGAAGCAGATGCATCATTGCAAACTAAGAGTTTGAACGCTGTGCTATCAGACTGTTGCTGTTTGGATCAAGGAGACTGTTTCCCGTCAAGCCAGTCGAACCTTTAAATCGTGCAGCCTGATAAGTGGGTACAGGTTAAATGCTTGTGCTGGAATCATGCAACACAAGGACACAGAGTTTTGCCCAGCAAGCAGTAACAAGGAGTAGGAGCTTGTCTTGGAAATAGTAAAGAGCAAGGTTTCAAGGAATATTGGTGCTTGTTCCTGACACAGGACGATGGCTGATGCCGATGGTGGCAGGGAGCTGGGGCGTATTGTATCCTTAGTGAAAGATATTACTGATGCAGGCACACTGGAAGAAGAGCTGTGGAAGTTGCCGCTTCGGAGCACAAAATCATTGTCTTTGATAGATTTAACCAAACGGCTACATGTGCCCCTAGAGATGAAGAAACTAAACAAAGAAGCTGTCGTGAACGCAATCTTGCTGCATCACTGGCAGAAAGAAGTCTTAGAGCATCATGACCGGGAGCTGGTAGCCGCGAAGCTGGAGAAACTGCCGCTTAAGGGCACGGTCTCTTTGAAGACCTTGGCACAGACTCGTGGCATTGTGAACATAGCAAGAGCTTCCAAAGACACGCTTATCCAGAAGTTGATAGCCAAACCAGAGGGGACGCGCCAAGGGGATGTAGCCTGTGAAGAAATAAAGCATTGGATGGTGGATTTGCACGGAAGCGAGCTGTGGCAGCGGCTCAGTGGTTGTGATGTTCGGGCGTTGGAGAATACCGTGTCAGAGTTGACTGCCTCAAAGATCTCGAGCTTAAAGAAAAAGCGTCTGGTGGAGGAATTGTTTCGTCATGCTGAAGATCTGAAACGTGGCTTGCCTTGGGTGGAGAAATGGATCGCAGAAGTGGTGGGCGCTGTTGAGATGTTTCAACGAGTGCATGGTGGCGATATGCCAAAGAGGGTGCATCGGAGGAGAGGGCCGACGACGGATGAAGACAAATTGGCACAGCGTTGGCGCAAACTGGTGAACCGGAAGAAAGATTCCGAATTGTCTGCGACGGAGGTAGAGTATGTCGAAGCTGTTTTGGGCAAAAATGCATGGGACGCCCAACAATGTGTGGAGGACTATCTGCCAGGACAGCCTGTGTTTGCATGTGTTGGATCTGAGAGTTTATAGTCTACAGACGGGGTCGAAAAAATGATAGTATATGTTACAATGTTGTGACGTTTTGTCTTGGAAGTGTCACAGGGCAGCTTCGGTGGTTATGCCCGTGTTGTCGAGGCGGAGACTTTGCGCCAGATGTGGCCAGCAGATACGATTTCAGGCAAGCTGAGGTGTCCGTATTGGGCCCTGTTTCCTGCTACTTGTGTGGGTGTAACGTCGATAGCGAAGAAGGGTTGGCGGAACACCTGAAAAATCATTTGCAGCATGGAGCTCAGGCACCAGAGCGGTTGCTCGAAGAGTATCGCAAAAGAGTTCTTTTTCATGAAGAATCCGAAGGGCCTTTTCCAGTGAGTGGCGCAGAAGTACGCCGAGCCGCATCCAACCATGCTTGGCAATCGTCGCACAGTTACTGCGGCGGTGATGGAGCTGCCACCTATGTCAAAAAAGCTACACTAGGAGAAGAGCGGGGCCTGGGCAGTTGCGCGGTCTGCGCGCAAACAAGATGGAAGGAAGAGTTGGCTGATTTTTATTTATTTGTCAAACCCACGGACAACGTGGAGTTGGATGAGGAGGATCCAGAAGGTACTGTTGAGACGGAGAATGGTCTGTCGCACGGAGTGAGAAGGGACCAAGTTCGCAAAGTGAATGAGCTCTTGAGTGCTGATGAGTACAGGAAGCGGTGGCCCAAAATACCTCTGTCGCAAATCCGTGGCACTAGTGTTAAGCATCCTTTCTTGGAAGATGCATGGTGGTTGTTGGATACGAAGGTTTTGACGGATATTCTGACCGAGGAGCATGAGGTGCGTTTGGATGCACGGGGCCAGTCGCCGCCCGTCAAGGCTTGCTGGGTTTGCGCGTATCACTTGCGACAGCGCAATGTCTCTATGCCACCTTGTGCACTTGCAAACGATAATTTGATGCTGCGACCACCTGGTGTCTTTCAAGATGAGCGCGGCAATCCTTTGTCAGATGCTACTTTGCTGCTGCTTGCGCTGGCGAGAGCTGTTGTGATCAAAGAAGTTGCGGAGCCCTTGCGGGAAGTTGCCAGGGAGGAGCAACAGGAGGTGCTGAAAGGCAACACTATAGCCCTACCGCAGGCAGATTGCCGTGTACTTGTCACACAGAAATTGCCAGCAAGCGAAGAGATACTGCGACCGTTTTTGCAGGAGCATTTGGCTGTGGTGTTTTGTGGAAAAGATGTGAGTGAAGCTTCTAGCTTTCCTAAGCTTGAGGTGGACTGGGAGAAATATTCCCGTGCTGTGCGCTTTTTGATTGCTCACAACCCAGAATATGAAAAGGTGGAGCTGGACGAAGAGGCTGCAAAGATTATGTTTCAGGGATGTGGAATTCCAAATGTGATCCGAGAACTCATTACCAAGCTGAATGTGGACAGTGGCTTTGTGCAGCCGGAGGGTGCAGCTGCTGAAGCTTGGCGACGGATCATTGCGAAATCATAGTGATGTTGTTTCAGTTCCCTCTGATCGCGGTTGCTTGTTTGTACCTGTTGTAATATTGGTAACTGTATTAAGAGAGTCCAGTCTGATGGATAAATGTGTTTCAATGGATATTTTGCACAAGGAGCCATCTGAAGAAGACCGTGATGACGGCGGGAAAGCGCAGGAAGAAGAGCTTCCTGCACAGGCGTATGCCGTTGATATGGCAAAGCCCGACAAGTCGGATCCGATCGAATTTTTGCAGGTTTTGGCTGCGAAGGTGGACACTTTGGTTCGGAGAATGACTGCAACAGAGGATGGAGATGAACCCGGGCCTCAGCGAGAGCTTGTTGAGTTGCAAGCGCTTGCTGCCGACATGGGAGATGAAGATTTTTTTCGTTGCTTGAGAAAAAACATGGAAAACCTGTTTGAAAGCAAGCAAGCCGCTGTTGTGGTTCCGACCGGAGGGCAACCCTTGAAATTTTGGGAATCGGCTTTTTGGGTCAAGCAATTCCCGGATTTGTTTTGCTATGGAGACGGTGCTTATGGCTTGAACCGTCGGAAATTCATGTCATTGCAGGAATGGGGTGCGATGATGATGTGTCGAACCGAACTGCAATATATGCCTGTGGAGGAGCCGGTTGATGTCTGTTGTAGTGTTGAAGGCGAGGGGCGGCCGCAGTGTGACTGCCCGGAATGTGCCAATGGTGGGATGGTTCGAGCAAAAACGGCACAGCCCCGATGGTCCGCCAATACGGCCTTTCGCTTCGTAGTCTACGACTGCTGGCGTAGATCTGAAATTATGAAAAAAGCTCGGATGCACGTGAGAAAGAAAGGTTTCCAACAGAATTTGAAATTGGTCGCCCGAACTTCAGCGGAGCATCTTCGATCGGCGTTGTCTGCCTTGGGAGCGACGAGCAGCTTGCATCAACTCGCAAGGGATGATAGAGTGGAGCCAGCTTTGCGCAGAGCTGTCAAGGCGCGGTGTTGTTTCAAGGCTTGGTTTTCGTGAGTTTGCACAAAGGTTAAGTGCCATGGTGGGCTAAGATCTTAGGATGGCCACCCGACAGGAATTGATTATTTTCAGCGCTGATGTGGTGGGCTCGGAGGGGTCGAGGGTGAGCTTGAGGTACCAAATCATGGGCACTATGTTGCGATATGGCCCTGTCGGTGCTTTCGTGACTCCGAATGTCAATGATTTGGGGAACCCATTAGTGGTCAAGATACACAGACAAAGCAATGGCGCGGAGGCAGAGGAACACTATGTGAACTTGCTGGAAGATACTCCAGATGTCCCTTCAAAGCGAGAAATGCTTCTCATGATCGCCAAGGACCCTATGAGCCAGACTAGGTTTTTTATTTTCTGTTACCAGTTATTCATGATGCATGTGTTGGGAGTAGGGCCCGTGGACAACATGCTCCGTCACAATGGGCACAAGGATGGGACACTGTACCCTGATGGCAGAGCTGCCAATCTATGGTCTGGGGGCAGTTGCAGCGTGGCCAGTGCTCATTTTCCTATCGAAGAACAGGGAAGGAGATCCAATCATGGCCATGGACTTATAATATTCAACAGCAGGCAGAAAATTGACTGGCTACGGGAGTTGCTGAAGGGCACGACGGAAGAAGGTCGTATGAAGCTTCGTGCATGGCGGGACAGAGTCATTCTTGCTGTGGAAAGCATGCAGACAACGTGCGTGGCCTCAGTGCCCCTGGTGCTGGCCCGATCACCGATGGATATTGAGTTTGACTTGCAATCGCCAGGGTACTCGGAGAAACAACGTGCAGCAGACAAATTTGATGGCAAGGCCGAACTAGATGTGCGGGAACCCGGGAAGAGGAGGCGGGGTAAGAGCATGGTTATTGTTACCATGCAGTCGGTCAAAAGATTGAAATTTATTTGAGTTGATGTTGGACGGGGCTGTTTTTCTTTGAAGGTGTCCGCTAGATAGCTTGTTCAAACTGGAGCATTGTTCGGCGTCAGAGACTTATTGAGTATTAGATTCGTTGGCTTGTGTCCTGTGCGCAGGCTGTATATTGCTACCTGCCCCAAGTTGGGAAGAATTGGCGAGGCGGAGACGAACGCTACAAATGATGTGAATAATATAGGCCGTTTGAGAAGGGATTGCCGGCAGACAGGAGCGGTGTTGTCGATGTGCCCACAGTACTTGAGGTCACCGCAAGAGAGCGTTGGTTGCTGTCACGGTGCGTGCCTACGAAAGCAAGCCCTTTGGTCTGCGTTGAAAGAAAGCAGAGTTGCGGCGGAGAAAGACGAGAGGTCTTACATAGCTGATTTTGCTGCAGATTCCGCCCGAATTGTGGAGCAAGCAGGAATTCACGCTCATACTGCGTCATGTTACAAGTATGAAAGCGGACGTGAGCAGGATGGCAAGCCAGAACATTGCCGCTTTGGGTACGTCCATTTTGTGACTTTGTGGTGTTGGGCCATTGTTTTGCGCCGTGGCAAGCAGGTGAAAGCAGCCGTGCAGCGAGTGTTTGCAAGATTTGGCAAGGAGCCAGTACTTCCCAAAGGGTACATGCCTACACCTTTCGAAAAAGAACATGGCATTGCGGCAACGTTGGACATGTTTGCCCCACACCATCCGGGACTGGGAAGTCAGATCAATGCCAAAGAAAGCTTGGATCGACCTGGCCGCATTCAGACGGTGCGTGTGCATCCAAGAGAGACATCCACCTTGGTGAGCAGAATTGTCTCCCATAGGGGCAACTTGGACTATCAGGACTTGCGGACTGTCCTGGACGATGCCGATGATGACAACGTTCCGTTGCCGCCCGAAATCAAGGTGCATCGCCAAGGCCCGTTGCAGCCCTGCCGTTCGTTGCTAGTGAACGGAGGTGTCACAATGCCCCAAGCCTATACTGTCCGTTTCCTCGGGAGCTGCTTGCAAAAAGAAGAGGTGAAGGCCTTGATGGTTGCTACCCGTACTTTCTATTGGATGTTGGAACCTAGAGCTGGAGTGGCTGAAATGCCACGGGTGGGCGACCGGCAGCGTGATGCAAGCTGGAAGATTTTTTCCAGAGCTGTGGTTGACGGCATTGTTTCGGCAATGCGAAGTGCAGTGCAGATTAGCTTCTACATTTGTGACTACTCCACTAAACCTAATGTGACATCGGGCCGCGTTTTGCAGTACATGCACAAAGGAATGCAACGGTTGGAGGCAGAACTGCAGGAGAAAGAGTGCGTGCAGAAAGTGTTGGAGCTCGAGGCTGCTGGTTTCTTGGATGATCCTGGCCGATTGCCTTCCGGTGTGCAAACTTTGGAAGGTAAGAATTTGTCTGAGGCCGAAAAAAGGCAAGAGAAGGTGAGACGCATTCTGATCCGCTTGTGGAGCGCTGCAAACTATTCTTATTTGAAAGGCGCTTCGCTGCAGCTAGTGCATCTACTAACGCGCAGAGAAGCTTTCAGAACTCACAAGTATTGGCAGGTTCTGACGAAAAGATTAATTTGGGCAGGACTGTTTTCATGTTGGCTGGCTTTGCCGGTTGCCCAAAACAGGCGTTCAAAAAATAGGTGTGATAAACTATTCAAAGTGCTGGTAATTGTCAAGTGTTTGGTGGCTTATGGATCTTGTGTCAATATCTCTGACCCTGTGTCTCAAAGGACATGAAGCTTTGCGAAGAGAAGAAACCAAAACCATGGAAGTAGGAGAGACAGAGGAAGACGTGGCCCTAACCCTGATCGAAGTGGAGCAAGCGGATGGGAAGTATAGTGTCCAAGTGAGCAACGATGCATTTGTCGACGATTGGTACCACCGTGGCCCAGACCTTGCTTGGATGAGCCATTATCTCTACGCGATGTATGTCAGGGTTGTGCCGAAATCTGATGGCCTGCGCTTTCAATGGAGCTTTGCCTTTGTGCACCATTACAAGAAATATGCTGGCTTCGTACAGGTGCTCGAACCATCTCCACGAGTTCCTTACATGGTTGGCTTCACCATGCCCACGAGAAGCGCGGATCCTGCCACGAATGCTTTGTATCATCTGTGCTTGATGAAGCCGAGCAGAGTGTGCAAAGGGTGTTGCGAAGATGTGGCTTGGCTAGCAGGTCATGTGTTGTCATCTGTGGCTGGGTCACAGCAAGGCATACTCTTTGGATACACAAAGCCTGCCGGGCAAGCTCAGCCTTCCAGGGGCGAGCGACGTTTCACAGAAGCGTGGAAAGCTTGGGAGGCATTGCAACTGACCCGAGCAGAGCGTGCTTGGGCAAAGTTGAAACTGGAGCGTCGTGTGGGCGTTCTGGATGATGTGGCGCCATTCCGAGAATGGTATGTGCCTGGTTGCAACAGAAAGACCATTGTGCAGTCATGGCTTTTGCCTTGGTTGCGAGGCGGTTTTCGGCATTGCTATAAAGGTCCCTGGGGACAAAAGAGGAGGACGCGATCCGACATCAATCCGATATACAGCAAGGCGCAATTTGTCAAGCTGCATCCCACAAGTGTGGGGGTACTGCCAGCATTGCCACATGTGGTCGCAGTTTGCATTCTTCGTTTTGCTGGGAATGTGAAAGGTGAAGGGAATGAAGATGTGGTTATAGCAGACACACTTGATGCCCAGGACAAGGCTGCGTCAAGTTGCAGAACAGATGCCCAGAAGACGGTGGTCAGAACAGGCACCGGGGTTCATGTGAACCAATTGTTTCCCGAAGAGTTTGGTGCCAGCATCACAGCAGAGGTGTCATGGAATATGGATTTGCTTGCTGAAGCTCGCAAAAGACCACGCCCAAATGCAGTCGCTGTCAGCAACGAAGACGAAGATGATGATGCGGGTGGAGCTGTCGTGGGAAAACTGTTGGCCGCTGAAGGAGAAACCCCGGGCGGAGAAGCAGGAGATGATTATGATGTTGTAGTGGAGCAGCCATATTCCGAGGAAAAAGGCTTACAGTATAAACCGCACCTGGAAATACAAGATTGCGATGTCCTTGAGATTGCTCACAGACTAGATGGCTGGAGAGACGGGCGAGGCGCGGCGTCAAACGTTGTATAGGAGGTCGCGGGGCTAGCGGCTAGTGCGTTGCATTCAGTTTGTGTTGTGTGCATTCAGGTTGTTGAGAATTATTGTCGTTGGATGTGTTTGTCAGGTCAAAAAGACAATGTCTTGAAGTTTTTCCAGAACTTTCGCGATTTTTACGCTGAAGAGTTAAAGGCAGCATGCCCTTGCGAGATGAGGATGCAAAAACAGTTCTGTGGTACAGATGGCATGAGTTTGGCAGACTGGATTTCACAGCGAAATCAAATGCTCCGAGCACAGAAAGAGTTGAAGAATAACCGTGAGAAGACAGGCCCAGGCGGTGGAGAATCTGAATCGGAAGATGATATACAGAGTCGTGTGATTACCAGTGAAACAGATGTGCCGAAAATTCATGTAGTATTCACTTTCGAAAATGCCATTGAATCGCCAGCTGAGATGGCACGCCGGTTGGCGTGTCAAAGTGGGGCAGCTTGGGACAGACAGCAATATGAAATGATCATTTGTTGCGTGTGGCCTTTGCACCGGGTCTGGGAATATGCTCTCACAGAGCGTCGTCTGAAGGAGTGGAATTCTGTGGAAGGCCGCTTACAACTCATCCAGGATGCGCAGGTTCCACCTGTCCGTGTATTCGCACATGGAGCTGGCGGGTCAGGGAAAACTTATTGCTTGACTAAAGTTGTCATGGCCGTTTTTCAGTGGTTTATGCCAGGGCAATGTCGTAAGCAAGCTTCCACCAACAGTGCTGCTCGCCTGATCGCAGGCGACACCATGCATGCTTGTGCAGGGTTACTGAAAAGTGCAAAGTTTACAGCAGAGGAACCGTCCCGGAAGGTTCAGAACAAGTTGAAAACGACTTGGGGGACTGCTGTCTTTGTTTACAATGATGAGGTGGGTGCTGCCGCCCCTGGACTGTATGGAACTTTGTCGTCTCGTGCATACTGGGGAAAACGGGCTGCGGGGCAAATTGAAGATGTGGGGCCGAAACAAGCACCTTTTGGAAATCCTTTGCTACATGTTGACGCAGGTGACTTTGCCCAGCTCCGGCCAGTGCCGAAAGGGAGCCCTAGCCTCATGGAAGCATTTCTAATGTCCCGCAAAGAATATGCGAATGAAGGCCGCGTGCGGCCATTGACCGACATGGAGATGTTAGGCCTGAAAACTTTTGATTTGGTTGCGGAGACCTGCGTAGAGTTTAAAGGGACCTACCGATTCAAGGAAAACGATCCCTTGATCCGTCTGCTGCAGATTATGCGCACTGTCGGCGGCGCAGAAGTACCAGAGACATTGAGGCAACAAATCTTGAGTCGTATTCAATTGGGTGGCAAAGATCCACGAGCAAAGCTATTCTATAGATTCCCTAAATCGGTGCTTGGATCGGATGTTTTTTCAGACTAACTTTTGCAACGGGATGCACAGTGCGGTGAACTGGGAGCAGGTTTCGCGGATGCAGCAAGTGTGGGCTGCCCGCAACGCCCGTGCTAGTCGGGGTCCGCAAGCTTTGCAAAATAGCCGTGCAGGAGAACCACAGTATTATTGGGAAACCTTTTGCCCGTATTTGAGTCGCGCGCATTGGAGAATGGCGCCGGTGTTCGAAAAATGTCTGGGAAGGCTATCGGCATCTCGTGGCCAACTTCTGTTCTTATCACAACGTGTTGACAGAGCACAAGCACAGCAACATGCTCATGACAAGGAGCCTTGGCTTTTTGTTGCATGCAATCTATTGTTTTCTGTTTCTAACCTTTTTTTTTGGTTGGGCGGTTGCGCCGGACGATCTGCAGGCTTTGCTACGCAGCGCTCTACGGCATGTGAACATGACTGATACAGGGAAGCTAGCAGGGCTTTGCCCTTTATATCTTGGAATGCCAGTGAAAGTAACTCACAAACTCTGTCCGCCAGAAGTGGTTCAGGAGGCAACAGGAGAAATATTACAGATTGGCTTCCACGAAGAAGAACGGTATGGTTTACCTCGTCAGTTGCACAGGCCTGGAGGTATGCCACACAAAGGGCATCCATGTTGGAGTAGGGGTTGGGTAAAGCTCGACATGGTTCCACGTTGGGTCGAGATTCGGCTTCATGGCTGCACTGCTGATTTTACGGGTACTGGCCGACCAGGCGTGTACTTGGTGGAGCCTACCAATGCTGACTGGGATTTGCAATACCAAGCAACTGCCATAGTCAACCATCCCAATGAAGTGCCGAAGCGCAAGAAAGTCCCTAGAATCAAGGTTGGCCTTCGAAGTTCTCAGCTACCCATAGCTCCAGCTGGGGTAGGAACCTTTAACAACATGCAAGGTAAAACGGCCAAAGATGAGAAATCAGTGCCAATGGGCCATACTATTGACCTGAAACTGCTGGATGGCAATGATGACAAGTGGTTGCACTACTACATGATTCTTGGAAGGGCCACGTCCCTCGCAACAACCTTGCTGTTAAATTTTCCGGAGGATGCAAATGGGGAACCAGATTGGACCATTTTTGAAAATGGCCCTCCCGAGTATTTGATCCATGTCTTTGCTGAATTGGAGAAACGATACGAAAAGACCCAAAAGCTTGTGACGCTGCGCCAAGCAGATCTGAAAATCTTTCCTTCTTTCGCTTGCCTGCCAGCTCGGCATAAAGGTCTGGGAAACGAATATGTGTACAACACTGCTGAGTGGGATGCTGCCGTGGCGCAGCGGTCGCAGAAGAGAAAACCGGACAGCAGCCACCGGAACTTAGCGGAACGTTTAGAGAGACGGGCAGAGGAGCCGCCGAGAAGAAAACGGAAATAGAGGTGGCAAGTCTTGACTGGAGAACCGAACGTATTCTGCTCAGCTGTGTGTCTTGCTGTTGAGCCTGAGCTTGGCTATGGAACGATGCTGAAAGATGCCGTAGAGCTACGGCGTCCTGAACTACATGTTTGCAATACATTCTGACTAAGGCCCAAAGCTGGCCTGAAAAAAAGGCGTGCCGCCATGAAAAATGAAAACAGACTATTTGCTTGCCTGCAGGCAACTAGCAGCTTTCAATGAACTGTGGAGAAAGCAAAGCAAAACATAGCCGGTGCCATTGCCAGTTTCATGTCGTTGCGATGGTTGGGTCTGAAGGAAGAATCACAGTTTGCCTTTGTTGTTTGTCGAGGCTTTGAACATTGTTGATCATTCGAACTCTATCAGGATACTTGCGCATTCGAATTTTAGGTCGACATGTTGAGGCAAAGCGACAGCTTGGCAGAGGGAGGGAGGGAGGATGCCAAGAAAGACCTTAGCGTTGGTGAGTTTGACAAACAAGTTGATCACAATATGTGATTTCGACAGATTTCAGAGCATCGTGACTAATCATTGCGTGGAAATCAGACCATGCACTTAGATGTTCACATCAGTGTTCGTGCAGAGCACACTTGGCTCAGAATCGTGGCAATTTCATGATGTGGCTGACACACAGGAGTCGTTTTTAATTGCTTTGGAAGGGATCAATCTGTCCACAGGTCCAGGTGCACATGGGGATCAATGCACTGAGTGCTCCGCAGCAACTTTCGTTGCGTCCAAATCACGTCCGAATCGTTCTGACCACAAATGAGAGGACCGGTGGGGGCACACGGCAAGATGAATATGGCTTTCTGCAGGTTTGTTTCCTGGCTGGTCTTTCCTGTGCAATGGACCCTGGGATCTTGAACTAGGTTTCTGATCGCTAAGCCAATATTATCAATAGTATATCCGGGTGGTTCGTAGCCATTTGGTTCGCAAACTCCAGGAAGCGTGCCTGCCATGCTGAGACGGTATTTCAAACGTAGCACAGCCTTGCGAAATCTAAGGCTGCTAAGACGCTGCGCCAAATTTGCATGGCAAGTCCAACAATCTGAACTCAGCAGGGGAGCCAAAGTTGCTCAATGGCGGTTGGTTGCTCGGGGGCGTGGTAAGCCGGCCATAAAACCAGCGGAGGCCTACTGCTTAAAAAACGGCAGAATACATTTTGAAAGTTGGCTGAAGGCCAGAAAATTGCACAAATTCTTGACACCTGGTTTGGAAAGGAACGGCTACTTCCATTTTCTGAGCAAGAAGAAACCTGCTCCGGCGCACTGGCTGCGTGCATATCATGGAACGTGGTTCTATTCATTGGCCGCTATTGTGCGCATTGGCAGATTGCTGGAATCTCACAGCATTGACCTGGGGCACGAGTTTTGGCAACCTGGTGTTTACGTAAGCCCTCGCTGGGACACAGCGCGTTGGTATGCGAGAGGGCACAAACTATTCCCATTTGAGTGCGCATATCACCGCGTCATACTGGAGGTGAGGGTGAACTTTGAAAATGTGTTGCGTAATCGCTCAAGAGGTGGTGGTCAATGGGTGTTTCATTCAAAAGATGTCCACATCCATTCTGTCTGGGTGGAAGCCAATACAACCATTGAAAAAGGAGAAGAACGCTGTGACGAGTGGCGCCCTGAACTGGAGGTCAACCACCTGGCAATCAGGTGTTAATTTTTGGAGGTGATATGCATTGCATTAAAATCGGATGGATCGACTTCTGGCCAGCTTCCTTCTGCAAGTTCCTGGCTGTGACTGCGAACAAAAAATTGCGTTGTTTGCATGCCTCTATAGCCTCCAACCGAGAAGTGCTCATTGGCAGTTTCGAGAAACCCGGGTGAATACTTCGCTGTCTAGGCTTCGTCTGAGTAAAATTCCGACTCGTAGTTCTTGCTGAATGTTGCTTTCAGTCTAGCTTGTATCTTCTCCACCACAGTGTGGTGCATGCCGCATTTGCAGGACGGGAGCTGTATACCACGCGATGGTGCTGCTGCGACCAGAGGAGCAAGGGTGTCAGAATGATGTCAGAAATGCGTAGGCAAAGCGGCACCTGTTTTGGCAGAGGGAGGGAGGGAGGATGCCAAAAAAGATTTCCGCGTGATAAGAGTTTGACAGTGAAAGCATGCACATTGCTATGTGAATGTGCATGACCATCCAGTTTTTCACGGTCAGAACCGCGTAGGCAAAGCGGCTATAGGAGTGTGACAATGAAAACATGCAGGTTGCATTATGGATATGCATGACCACCCAGTTTTGCAGGAGTGTCGCACGTTCAAAGCTTCATTGCACACAGCATGTACGGCCACTGTTATCCGGGAGTCTGTTGAGGTTCAAGTACGCTGTGAGGGTGGAGTACCAACTTTCAACTCGGTGTGGCCCTGCAGCTGCGGCACAATGCCAAAACTTCCCATGGAAGATGAGTCACTGCGCCTCAAGCCCTTCGTGCGACTTTGGTGCAATGCTGAAGCAGCAGAATCCAGATGGGAGCAAGTCCAGCGCATGGTGGATGCCCTCGAACTGGCATGTCGGACGGTGGTTACGCAGATGCATTGGGTTTCCTTTGCAGTTCTATGCTCCATGTTGACGCAGGTTCGATTGGAGGTGCCAGGGGTCGAATCCCCATATCGTGCTGACCAATGGATCACATCATCACCTTACCCTCCGACAGTGCTCACCTATACCAGATCCATGACTGCAGCCAAGGCCATGGCCTGGATCCAAGACCTAGACGCCGCTGTTATATTGCTGCAAGATTGGGCATTTGCTGCCTCAGACCTGTTGGATGAAGAGATGCGATTCTTTCTACGCTCTGTGAAAGCAGCACTTGCTGATTTCACATTGCTAGTCAGAGCAGGAAGTCTTTCCTCAGCGAGACGTCCATTTGTGCCGCTCCACGAACTGGTTGATGTATGAGGGCTACCGCCGATTCCAGTTAGCACATCCACCATTTAGGTTGAGTGTAACATCTCAACCGGTCTTTTTGATTTCATCCACGAGTGGATGGCCCCGCCTGGCCGTATGGAGCAGTCTGCACCGCAGTGGTCAAAACAGGATGATAACTGCAAAGGGTATGGGAACACATGGGGAACTGTCTTGTCCTCCGAGCCACATCTTTTCTGTGCACTCATTGGACATGGGTGCGTTGCCTCTGGACCGCATGTCATGAGTGATCATTGGCTTGCCACGACATGATGTTTTTGCTTACTTTGCTTTGCCCCATTTGAATGCACAGGTTTTGATTCGATTGATATATCATTCATGGAGCCGCGAAAAAAATGATGCAGCGCCAAAAGACCAACAAAGGGGAGGAAGGTGCACAAGAACTGGTTGAACTTTCTTGAGACATCATGAACACTGATGATGTCAGGGGCCACAATTCACCACAGCTATGTCTACATTCTTCTAGTCGCTATTTCTGGTACGGGGGAGTCCCCATGTCATTGCTGAGTTGGCGGTTTCTGGCATTTTTCATTTAGATTTGCTCGTAGGAGCGGCTTGCACCATGCCAAGGACTTCTGTCGAGTTGTTTGAATGCATGTGTTGAAGATATTGTGGAAGGCGCTCATAGAAATTGTCGGGGATGGAATGCGCTCTTGCATCTATGCAAGCCCAATGGGAGGGAGGGAGGGTCTCTAAAAGAAAACATATATATTCTTGCCTAATATGGTTTCACCCTTTTAATTTATAACAGTAGAAGTGTTCCTGCAGACCACGTGGAATTGTTTGAAGATGGCTTTGAACATGTTGTTGCTGCTGAGGACGTGATGCTCACATGCAGCGGCACTCATGCAGTGGTTCATGTTCCGCATTCAAGACGTGGCATGCTTGGGTTTGATCCCATTTACGGAATAAAAAATGCGAACCCGAGGATGAACCTGAAGCGAAACATTTCCATAAAACATAGCCATGCACGTGGAAATAAATAGTTACATATGTATATATATAACATGTTTTTTATGTCTCTATATATATATATAGATATATAAATATGAATTTATATTCTATATAGAACTAAGCAGTATTAATTCTGTTTTATTTGTAGATATGTTTCAGTGTTGTTTGTCTTTGTGGCTGTTTCCGCCGGTCTTTGAAATGAGACCAAAAACCACCAGTGTTCACATCACTGTTCGTGCAGAGCACAGTTAGCCCAGAATCGTTGCAATTTCGTCATATGGCTGACACGCACCAATCGTTTTCAGTTGCTTTGGAGGTTGGCATGGCTCCATTCGCCATATGCATGAAATGATCAACCAATGGATGTTTGGAAGGGATCAATCTATCCACGGATGCACATGAGGACCAATGCAATGATTGATCCACAGCAACTGGAAAGACGTCCAAATTGCGTCGTAGGCTTGAGCTCACAGTGCTGTTCCCGACATGCAGGAAAAAATGGTTTGCTCTGTGCCGTTTTGCTTTTGGGTTCTCTGGCCCACCTTGTTTACAGTGTTTTTTGAAGGCGAGCGTCACGACCTATCAAAAACAGGAAACCTGTAACCTTTTACGAGTGCCATCCGGACGATCACGCCCCAGCACCTTCGGTGCGGGCGGATTTTTTCCCTAACGGTATCCAATAGTGTAGTAGGCTTGCGGTGGTGCCCTGCTCCACTCCTCGCCATTCACTGTGACACGAAGAATCTTCACTTGCCAGAACCCTTTGTGGGGATCATGGACCGGCGTCCACTGCAAGGAGGAACGCATGTGACGTGCATCGTGGCCGCCGAAGCAAATCTCACTAGCCACATCGTCCCTTTCAGATAAGAAGTACCCAAACTGCGGGACGAAATTCTCACCACTGCGCGCCATTTGTTCGAAGAAGCTGAACTGTGAATCCACGGCCAAATTCGCGAGGCCCAGGCCAATTACACCATCAAAGTGAAAATTCTGGAACGGCTCATCAGTCATTTGGTTCGCTGTCACTATCCTGACCCGAGCGCACGCTCCGTCAGTCAGCTTACCGTTCAAGCACACCGCTTCCTCCACGAAGTTTCCGATGACTTCACCTGCGGTAAAATCTTTCCAGATCTACTCAAGGATCTCAAGGGGATCGGATATCCAACCCAGCATAACACTTTGTTGCTCTTATGAGATGTTGTGAGTCGTTTTCAGTTTACCCAAACCAAGCATCGCAAAATTAACAACATCTAACAACATTAGTTATATTTAGTTATACAGTAATTATACAGTAATTTTCTACTGTTACTTAAGTTATAAAAAATCATACGTCATCCCATGTCCTCCCATGTCATCCCATCCTGGGATATTCACCATCCATCACCATCCCAGTTGTGCTGTCTTTGGTTTCATCATGTTTCATCCCAACTAGTCCCAGGAAAAATATGGAAAAATCCGCCTGTCCCAAAGCTGATTGCCACTTCGTCTCTCTCGCCGCCAGCCCACAGCCCTTCATGGTCCAACTGAATGGCCGAGCTGGAGGCTGACTCATTGTACCTGCGATGAGCTCGACAGGCTTCACTTTCACACTTCACAGATGGCAGGAAAACATGCCCTGAGCCCGTGTCAAAGACCACAGAGAATTCCAGGGATGGGCTGCCTACAAAGATATCACCAAAGTAGGCAGTCTTGTATGCAACGACATCTTCGCCCCGGTAGATGGGAACGTACTGCTTGTCCAAAGGAATCACTATGAGGTTGTTGGGCTCTCCAGCAACGAACTTCAAGGTGCAAATCAACACTGCCAGCAACAAAGGCATGGATGTTTATGAAGGGCTAGCACCAAACAAGGTGCCAAGCCGTGTCTGCCGATTCTGGATTCAATATCTGGAATCTCCGCGAGGAAACTGAGGGGTTTCAGTATCTGAGCTAGCTCTGGCCAGCGGCTTGTGCCAAATCAGTTGGGTGGCCAAGTGGCCATGACATCTTTGACCCCAGGCGCAACATTCCCACTAGAATCACTAGAAAGCATTCAAAGCGTGAGTTGGATGTTTGGCCTCCAACGGCACGGAATACATATGATGTAGTATGATGTAGTATCCATTTGCACGATGAATATCGATTGCTTTAGGCCTTTAGGCTTCTGCTCCCCTTTCCTCTGTCATCTCCAAGATCGCTGTGACGCTGACCCTTTGGCCCCCTACAAATTGACAACGATGACCAAGGTGGTCATCGAACACTGTGAAAACAAAAGCTCGGACAAGGGATAGCATGAACAGCCTCTTGAGAAATGCAATAGGTCCAACCCCATGCATTAACACGGGCTGATTTAAAAGATGAAGACTACCCTAAGGAGATACAAGGGACGTGTTTGAATAAAGACCACCGTTTGACGCAACCCCATTGATCCCATTGTCTCCATTGCCATGCTTGGCAGGGGTGAAACTTCCAGAACATTCTAGAACCTCATTGGCTCTCAAACTACTCTGTATCTTTGAAACCAGAGTAGCCGCTGCTGCTCTTGCCAATCGTGCTGGGAGACATGGCTTGGACATCGGTTTTGTTGGCGCCACTCACCAAGTTGCTGCGAGCATTGCAGGCCAGCCACTTGTTGATCACCTGGAGTTTACATACAGGGGGGCATCAAACAGCAAACCAACTTCCCCAGATGGCTTTGTCATGGTTTTTCTCGAAATTGGGCACCAAATTGGATGGTTTAGCATCATGTTCCCGTTGTTTCACAGTAATTGGGGCATCCCTGAGAACTCTAGATGGTCCAGGTCACCACGTGAAGAGTCGTCCCGATGACCGCGAGGCCTAGTGCGACCCAGCCCATCGGAACAATGACCAAATTCAGGGCATTGCCCTCCAGGCCGCCTTCGAGATACGACGCTCCAATCTTACCTCGCCATCGCGGACAGAATTTGGCCGACTTTAAGGCATTCTATGGTTAGGGCACAAGAGATGTGGACTTTATACTTCATGGCATTTTATAGTATAGAAGAAGATTTTGATAGATTTTGGGGGCCTCAAAATGAAGACATCCACCACTAAACATCACTAGACCAAGATTCTGGGGTCTTTCTACGGGAAAGGATTACAGTCGTTACAGCCCTGAGAGACATCCCCTCAGATCAGTGGAGATCCGACCATGACCCAACTGGCCGTGTCTCCGAGCAGCTCGTGATGGCAAAACTTCTAAAGCAGAACTTCGTCGCCACCGAGTAATCCGCCATGAAGATGAAACTGGCTACAAGAATGCAAAACGATGACAGCAACACTGTCGTTTTCTGCGCGCAACCTTGGAGTTGCACCAGCCCATATCCACCACTTTGCGTGGGGGATCAACGATGACAAAACTTGATAATCACTGATGGTAAACTCATTTTACATCATTTTACATCATCCCACTTCTAGGGGTATATATCACCAATATTAAGAATATATATTATATAACCCTACCACAGGGGATGGTGACGTCATTGGCTTCCCCATGCTAAACATCATGCCAATCCATGCCATGCACCACCAAGTGCAGCCCGGAAACTTAGGCGCTTCCAATCCGAGACTTCCTTCAAGGCCCGCACGTAGTCCTGCTCTTTTCGCGTCAACTCTGCCACCGCTCGATGCTCATCGCGCTCCTGCGCCAGTTTCTCACCATCCTCATCCACCACCTGGATTTCTGGAATCGGGCACAAAAATATTGCAATGTCCCACGGATCCAAGGGAACATATGGGAAAAAGATGGAAAAAAATGGAACACCGAGGTATTTAATCATAATCACGGGATTTTTTTTCACACCTTCAATTTTGGGATGATTCTGGTAGAATGACGGGGATAATTCGTGATCATTTGTATATATATATATAATGATGTATATATATGTATATATGGGTTTGGGTTGGGTGGACCACACTAACCCCCATGGGTTCACCGCACGCCTTCATGATGCGGTAGGTGAAGAAAAACATGGCCAGAGCTTGCACCACAGCAGCAGCCAAGGTCACTGAGCTGCTGATGATACCCATGATGCCACCTTGGATCTGGAGATATCTGAAGAGATATCTGAAGAGATATCTACTTGAGATGGCCCAAAACATAGAACGTATTACCACATCATTCTTCCCATCAATACTCCCATTGGCAGGATTTACTCAATCAACTAAATCCAAGATCTTGTACTGGAAATCCATCTGAACTGTGACAGAGAGATTATTATTGATTACTACCCAAACAACATGCATAGTTACTGGTCCTGATCGATGTCCCAAAAGGATCCAAAGGGTAGAGATTTCCACCTACCCATGGAGAAATTAACAAACAAAATTACCAATTCAGCAAATCCGGGCGCTTGAAGATTCATCCTGGTAGGTCAGAAGTGCTCCTACCAGGACTTGCGGGATGATGCTCACGAGAATCACCGGCAAAGTTCCCAACAACATGGCGGGCACATTCAACCGCAAGATGCCACACAAGACACTGGTGGGCCAATCTGGACCTGCAACCAGGATGGCCACTTTGTCGATCTTAAGGCCTCTCTGGTTCAAGATTTGCTCCATAGCTCTAGTGGGCACCTTGTCCACACCAACAAACTGCTGCACTTTTACGAACTTGCCCATGCCATATCCCATGGAATACTGTAGGGTGCACGCGATCATCTTGCAAACCGAGGAGACCAGCACGCCAGATGCGACTCCAAGTGGGAAGCCCACTGAGCCCGTCAACTGCGACTGAGCACCCAAAACAACGCCTGCAAAAAGATACACAGCGCTCCCAGGAACGATGGGACATAGGAACATCAGCAGAGCCACACCCAAAATCATCACGCACAACAAGGGGAAGCCCAGATTGGCGGCTGCCAGCGTCTCATTTAGCCAGGAGAAGAAGACATAGGTCAACTTCATTCCCATGAGCAGGGACACACCCAGCAGACCCACTAGGTTCACCTTGAAAAAGATGGAGCACCAAGCCCAACTACTCATCTCAGTCACCACCCGCTGCCCTTCAGCTGTGAACTTGCCCCCTCCATCCGCGCAGGGCAAGCCGGTGCAGCGGCGGATCTTCTGTCTGATGCGATCCAACAGCGCCATGATGGGAATGAAGATATTGAGACCTCAGCGTGGCAGCGCCAATCAATGGGATAAATGAGGTATCAATGGGGCAAGGATTTTTCTTGCGGTGCCCATGATGATTGTGTATCAAACCTCCACTGAACCATCCACTTCTGCAGGCAAAACGGACCATTTATGAGCGGACCAGCCACCTGCCACCATCAAAGCCTTCATCCATTCGGACTTCAGCATGTTCATGAGATTTTGGGCCAAACGATCCTGGACGCAGCTTGGAACAAATGGATCAACAACATTCATCAACATTCAACAATATGTCCAACTGCAGTCTAGATATGTCTAGATTCAAGATCCTTTCAGGTGCACAATCTGGAGATGTCTGGAGGGCGCACTTGGATACAATATGATACATCGTGCTCAGTGCTCTGGCAAGTGGGCAGGTTTTGGGGGTGAAAAACTGCACCATGCGCAGTGTTGAGTTGAGCATCCTTCTTGGCATGAGCGTTCAAGCGCGCGAAGCCAAACTCTAGCAACATGAAACCCACAATGGTAGCCACTGAGGCTGCTCCCAAGGCCAAAAGACCAGAGCTGATTGTCACGTTGGCTCCGGAGACATACTGGGCAGCATACATGATTGTAAGCATTAGAACCACCAAGGCCGTAGAGTTCTTGAGAGCTCTCTTCACCTTGTGAGTCTCGGTCTCGGATTCGTCATATTGCAGACTTGCAGCTGCCTGGGAGAAAACCCAACTCACTGCCGCTACGATGATGTTGCCGATTCCGATGGCTGATGGTCCTGCCCATTGCATGAACCACACGGTCTCGGCGGATTTACAGGCAGAACCCACGGTGGCCTCATTGTCAGTCCCCAAAGTCGCCAGGAAAGCGGTGTCTTTGGTCTCGCTGCAGTGGAGCGTGTAGTTCAGCGTCAAACTGCTGTTGCTGTAAAAGTAATTGTACACCTCCTGGTTTTGACATCCACTTCGATGATGATCTCACATATTTTCCAATTAAAACTTGGCTTTGACTCCAGGTTTCGGCCAGTTTGTTGAACTTCTGAACAGTTTCAGCGTATTGTATCATATTGCATCATATTGTACCATTCCGTTTTCCAAACAGTACATGATGATATATATATATGTAGTGAAGGGGTATTATGATGTATTATGGACATCTATCAAGTTGCCAAACTGCAGCCTCAACAACCCCAGAAACGTCACCTGGTTGGTTTCCGCCAGCGATGTCCGCGTTTCCGAACTCCAAAACTTGTCTGCCATCGCTTGCCATCCCATCCATGCTCCAAAAACGATCAGTGCAGCTAGAACGAAGCCTGAAAGATTGGAAAGGTTGGTGACACAATCTAAACGAGTAACCCATCACTTGCGGCAGTAAGATTCAATCACTTGCGGCAGTAAGATGAAAATCACTTGCGGCAGTAAGATTCAATCACTTGCGGCAGTAAGACTCTTCAAAGCCAACCACTTGCGGCAGTAAGATTCTTGAACGTTTTTACTGCCACAAGCGATTGGTTTTGCTTACCGCCACAAGCGAGGTAGGAGCCTGACGGTGGGGTGGGGTGGGGTGGGGTGGGGTGGGATAATAACGTTCATGTTCCTGTACACACACACAGAGGCACGGCAACCTCATCATCTTTCTTGCTGTCCTGCAGACACAGGCACTGCTCTTTCATGATCAGTTACCGGTGGGGTGGGGTGGGGTGAGGTGGGTTGGGGTGGGGTGGGATAATAACGTTCATGTTCCTGTACACACACAGGGGGAGGCAGATGATGATGTCGAGGAGCAGGAGGATGAGGAGGATGAGGATGAGGATGAGGATGAGGATGATGATGATGATGGTGATGATGATGATGATGATGATGAGTATGAGTAGGAGGAGGTTAATGATGATGCGCTAGGTATGTAAGTAAAGTTCCCACCCTAAACTCTCCCATGGAAAAACACGGATCACTGCGCTCGCCGCTCGATCAACAGCTACAAATCTAGTCGCGGTCGCGCCGTTCTATGTATATCCTAACGTGAGGCTATCGCCACGGTATCTACAACCAATATATCAACCGTCGCGTTGTATATACCCAAGTGCAAAACGACAGACGTGAAAAACACAGCACAGCTGAAATTCCACCTTGATAAAAGTCGGTCTTTCTTTTCTCCTTTCGTTTATTCTCTCTGGGTTGGATTCACACCAAATGCGTCCAAATGCTATGAAAAGGCATATGTTTTACCTATGGTAACTGAGTCGAATAGCCCCCAGATGTGGGAGGGTGGGCTAAAAAAGTTGCTCCAACCCTGTTTGTTTGATCCACTTAAAAGGATACAAACATGATATAAACTTAAACCAAGACATCAGTAGAAACTGTGAAACCCTGTGCAGCAGAAAGAAGTTGACATAAACCTTATGTACGTCAGCGTTGAGATGTTTCCAGTGAGTGTGTTGAAGTCACATGGATAGAACACAACGCGTAGCGCAGAGTCCGCGTGGGGAGAGAGTAAAGAAACCGAGGAGTGAGAACCAACAAGATTTCATCAACGTAACGTCAAGTATTTGCGCAAGAGCAGCAAAGCTGTCTAGCATAACATCCAGCACGCGTCCCTCTACATGCAATCCCTCTTCACCGACATGTCGCACCGTACGCAATCAAACATTGCCCTGCTGCGCCAGCCACATTACAGCAACCGTCCCCAGGACCAACCAGAAATCAGTTATAGCACGACGTCTCCGCATTACATAACAAACACACGCAACTCTAGCAGCAATTTCTCCTAAGAAGCCTCATGTCTACGTAGCAGGGTCTGGCATTTTAATGCTCAAGCACACATGCATCATCCGACTCTAAGCCGCAGTACGTGCAAGAGAAGCAGCACAGCCCACGGCACAACAGAATTCATGTTCGCAACAGCAGCCACCAAGTCGCATGAAAGGCATCAAAGCTTGGAACGTGCACCGTGTCGCTCCCTTCCTCATAGAACCTGCCCTGCGTCCGAGAACGCAGGTGTCCCAGCAGCTTACTGCAGCAAGCGATTGGTTTTATATACCCTGGCATCAAGGACGCCCACTTACCGCCACGAGCGATAGATTTTTTACGGCCACAAGCGATTGAAAACAGAAACGTGATCTTACCGCCACAAGCGATTAGGCCTTGAAATGCTGCACCTGCCACGCAAAAACAGCAATCACCTGCGGCAGAAAAAAATAACTTGCGGCAGTAAAAAATGAACGTTTTTACTGCCACAAACGATTGGCGCATCTTACCGCCACAAGCGAGGTATGAGCCATCTAAACTTCCCCCCCGGGTACCTCTCAGCAATTTCCTGCATTCATTCACTTGGTCTCAAGACTTCCCCTGTGGCCTCTTCACAGCTTTTTGCATGCATTTCAACCTGGTTTCAATGTCTAGGCACCCCCCTTGTCTCTCAACAACTTTTTGCGCTCATCTGGTTTCTATATCTAACTTCCCATATCTAACTTCCCCCCTGTGCCTCTCATCAAACTTCCTTAACTTCCTGCACTCATTGGGTTTCCAATTCTATACTTCCCCCGTAGCCTCCCTACAACTTCTTGCATTCATTTTATTTTGATATCTAAGCTTCCTCCCCGGTGCCCCTCAACAGCTTCCTGCGTTCATCTTGCTTCAATATTCCCGGTGCCCCTCAACAACTTCCTGCATTCATTCGGTTTTATATCTGGTTCCACCGTGGCCTCCTAAAGTCCCCCCCACCTGTGCCTCTCAACAGCTTCCCGCATTCATGCGGTTCAATATGTGAGCTTCCCCCCCGGGTCTCTCCACAGCTTCTTGCCTGCACCGTCATTTGGGTTCATTATCTAGACTTCCGCTTCTCGTCTCAGCAACTTCTTGCGTTCATCCTTGTTTCGATGTCTAACTTTCCCCTCTCCCACCTGCCTCTTTCTCACCAATTTTCTGCGGTCACCTGGCTTCAATATCTACATGTTCCCCCGTTTCTCTCAACACCTTCTTGCATGCATCTTGTCTCGATAAATTCCCCCCACCCTGTGCCTGTCAGCTGCTTCCGGCATTCATTTTGGGTCCCAAAATTTCCCCCTGCGTCTCTCAGCAATTTTTTGCATGTATTTTCATGTATCTCCATTTAGTTTCAATGTCTAGGCTGCACCCCTTATCTCTCAACAACTTTTTGCGCTCATCCTGTTTCAATATCGAACTTTCCGTTCCCCCTATATGCCTCTCAATTTCCTGCATCCATTTCGCTTCATACGTAGACTTCCCCCATTGGCCTCTCCACCACTTCTTACGTTTTGTGGTTTCAATATCCGAACTTCCCTGGAACCAGCAACTTCTTGCACGCATCTTGTCTCAATATCTAAATTCCCCCCGCCCTGTGCCAGGTCCAAAGAAAACATGTAATTACGGGCTCAAAAAATAAGAAGGCGCCAAGGTCCAAAAACATCCAGCCCAATGTGAGCGCCTATAACAATGGAGTTCCCCCCCCACCCTATGGAGGCAAGGTCCACGAAGCAGGTGCACGGGTCCAAAAAACAGAAACCGAGCTCAGAAACAATTAATTTGGTGGTCTAAAAAAATGTCCCTGGGTCCAGCACAAAAACATGCAGGTCCAAAAAAAAATATTCCCACAGGGTCCAGAAAACACACAGGCACGTCCCCGACATTTTTTGCGCCCCCAGGTCCACAAAAAAATCCGGCCAGGTCCAAAAAACATGCATACCAAATAAACATATTCCCCCAGGGCAGATGTTGACCCCACAGCCCGCAGCCACTCATCTTCGTCAAGAGACTAAAGGCAAGACTCTCAAAGAAGCGCTTGCCAGCTATGTCTGAAGGCTTGAAGCACCGCACACGCATGTTGGCAATGAGGGCAATGGAGATACCGAAACACACGAAGAAACTAAGCCTTGGATCGGTGGATTGCTCGAAGGGAAGTCTACAGGAAACCTTCGGAAACCATGGTCGTTTTATGTCGTTTTTACCTTGACTTTTTGGGGTTCCCATGGTTTTCCATAGTTTTCCTATGTTTTCCTGCAAGCTTTCATAAACTCCAAACACTGCCAAGGCGAAGGCCAGCAACCAAGGATAGCCGATGAATTTCAGCGCTGAAGTTGCCACGAAGCAAGCGGCGAGTAGCAAAGCCATGATAATCTGCACAACAATACCTCTTCGATGCACATCGACTACAAAGGCAAGTGCTAAGAGCAGGGCGCAAAGACAAGCCGCACCATTCCCAACCATGTCCATGGTCTCAGATGCCCCAAAGCCTGCTACGGTTGCCCCAACTCCTATGCTGGAGAACAACGCAATTGCCAAGGCTTCAGGCAAAAGTATCAACAGCAGGGAAGTCAGCACAAGTTGCCATGGCGGGGTCGCATCCACATCGTGAATTACGGACATCTACTCCCTCCCTCGTTCCAGGAGAGTGCAGCTGTCCCGCATTGAACTCGAATCCGCTGGAAGCAGAGTCTATCGTTGTCCTTGATCCATGACAAAAGCCCGAAACATCTTGTGGAAACCAATGCTGTCAAATCTGTCAACCGTGCATTAATGAATCTTTGTATGGTTTCATTGCGGGGGCTCCCTTTTTCTGCGCGGAAGTAGAATGATGTTAGAAGGTAATAATATGTTTGGGGTTCCCCTGAGTTGTTTAATCATCCTGGGGCGACGTTATCAATGATCAATGGCAACGTGCATCTATCAATGCAAGAGTTGGTCGAAGTGCAGAAGAAAACTAGGGGATGGAAGAGAACTTCAAACCAAAAGTTCAACAAAAACGCACATCGTAGCAAAGCTTCCAAAGTAGGCATAAGTTGACAAGTTTGTCTTTGATCGTGGCAGCCATAGCAACTGTCCCTGGTGTTATTTTTGTCCTTACCATTTCTACGGAGAGGCATGTGGCCTGTGAAACGAGAACCTGTCTGTACCAAACATCGCGGCACATTGGCCCGATTGTCAGCTGCGGCCATGCTTTGGTGTTGCCTGCAACTGCCTACCACAAAAGTGAAACCGTTTTCTGTCTGGGCTTAATCTGCGACTTCCAAGCCTGCAAACACATTATCATTAAGGGCCGTTGGAGAACCATTTCCAGCTCAGCGTCGGCTTCTTTCTTTAACTTTTGCAATCTAAGGTTTTCCGCCTCTGCCTCACGCAAATTTACCACGTCTCGTCTTTGTGTTTGCAAATCCCATTCGAAGAGATGTTGCGCACTGCGTGGGGACATGTGCTTGGGAACTGATGCCGTTGTCCCACTGAAGGGAGCTCTGGCTGGTTCTGCTTCCTCCTGTGGACTACCAGCACGTGCAATCACAAAAGTCACGTAGTCAGGTACAGCTTCCGAGAGCATAAACCCTGCAATCTTCAGTCTGCTTTGCGACAGCACCACGGCAACTGCCAACGCCAGAGTCTTCTTGGCCGCCGCATCGCCGCTCTTTTGGACCACCATGGGCTCAATGAGAATGATATCTCCAACCTGGACTTCCGTACGAAAAGCGGTGCCGGATCCAACCACTTCGTCGCCCAGTACTGTCACTTTGCCTGTGCCAGTGCTCACGCGTAATGAACCCATCCCCACAATGTGAGGGAGACTCCCTTCACCAAACCATTTGCACATTTCGATGAGGGCCTGCTCTGCTTCTGGACATAAGTTGCTGGCGTCATAGTCTGTTGGATTGGGTGCTGGGCTGCTTCCCAGCATTTCCTTCTGGTATCGCCGATGAATTACTGCGCACATTTCTTCCAGCACTCGTTGCATGGAGACATGAACCTCCATGGGTTCAACTTCAACTAGCCCATTTTCTAATCATGGCAGATGAACCCTGTGTTCTCGGAGAGTTTGCATCATACTACTGAAGGGCCACACGTCAGTCCCATTTGAACGATGTAAATAAAATACCAAGAAAGCATGAACGAAAGAAACACCAACTCCAAACGTTGCCCAAAAGTTTCTATTCCCAGGATATCCCACCTTCATGATGCACTCGTTCATCTTGACACACTTGGCTCTGACATCGCGGAGGGCTGCCATGCAGCCATACAATTCCACCTTCGCCAGGTCCTCTTTGACGACCAGGGCTCCTTTGGTCAAATCGTCCACCTCATCGACGCGTCAGAGCTCTCAGCGGCTCCCCAACCCACAAGCATTGCAGTGCTGCTTCAAGCGCTAAGAGATTTTTGCATGACTATGATCCACTAAGCCACTATGCATGATTATGATTGATTATGATTGAATATGCATGTCACAGCCACAGATCTTAGAACTCGCATGAAATCGCTAACGTGCCAGCCCAGGGACTGTCATGTATCCAAGCCTTCCATGGTCCACCTTGTCGAAAATTCTCTTCACCAGCAGTCCTGGGCTCGGAGCAGCCTCTAATTTCCCCATTGCTTCTTACCACCTGGTGTGACACCGGCAAAAACAACCTGAAAGGCACTGAAAGTCTGAAAAATGCTGAAAGCATGAAATCATATGAAATCAGCTCAGAGTCTGTGCAGGCCTGCTTTTTCAAAGGCCTCCTCTAGCTTCTTCCTGGGTGCCGCTGAGCTTTTGTGAAGCTGGGAAGTCTTAAAAAGTCCTTACATTGACAAGGTATGTGAGGGGTCAAACAGCTGGACATACCTTGGTCGCACTTGTAGCCAATTTGGGCCTTCAATTCTCCACAATCTAGTTCCACTCAAGTCACCTTTTGTGCCGAGGATCTGAAATGCTTGAACAGACTGGCCATTCTGCGCGCTGACTGATGGATGCGACAGAGTTCTTTGCGAGCCGAAGCGCTCGATGGCTTCGGAGCCTGGTTGCAGCTTGGAATGCATCTTCAAGCCAGTGGTTCTCTCAAGCATATTGGCGTAGAGAAGTTGTTCTCCAAATTCTTTTCCACAGGCCTCATGAGACCACGGAAGCGGGTGAATATGCAGAATTTTGTATGCCCAAGTTGGAGTTCGCTTGGGTGAGTGGGTGGTCTTGACATTTTGTCTTGACCTGGCTTTTCTGTTTGTAGATCTGTCTGATTCTATCATATTCTATCTCTCTATCCATCTATTTCCGCTTTTCTCAATCCGCCACTCCCACTACGTACAGAACCCTCTCCAGCGGGCCGTATTCATCGCCTCTGCTGATCAAAGGAATGGACAAGCTATTCGCAGCTGATTCATCTGGGTATACAATGGCAAACCCATCGGCAAACCAGCCCCTTCAAAATCTTCAAAAAGATGTTTATTGATTTATTGATGTTTATTGTATTTTATTGTTGGCTTTCCCAACACAGGCATCATCAGTCATCATCCCATCCGCCCACCTCCTGCAGGTTCTTCGTTGCGGTTAGGAAGGTGATGAGATCCCCCCTCTGAAGTTCCGCCTCATCCTTGGCCTGCAACCCGAGGGCGCTTTCGCAAAGGACGCCGATGACCATGTTCATCAAACCCAACCCAAGGACCACGGCCAGCAATAGAAGCACCACCAGATTCAGCAGGTTGCCTGGAGCGAGACTCCATGGTTGCTGTGGATGAATCAATTCGTCACGTGTGGATCATTTCATTGGTTGCGGGAATGGAGATGAATGGAACATCGGAACATCTTTCAGAAGATACCAGTAATTTAACTTAAACGGCTACATTTTGATAACTTTTGAATAGGCTAATTGTAAATCATCAAACTACATGGGCCAAATGGGCCATGGCTGAGGGGAATATGACACCAGCGAGTTGCTTTTGGAGACGGTCAAGACATCACCCCAATGATCGAAGGTCGTTACCTGCCAACCTGTCAGTAGGGCACTCCGCAAGTCCCCGAAGTATTTCTTCAGGGGCGAGCCGGGCTCGGCGTCGTTCCCCACGATGGTCACGGCATAAATGGAAAAGGCATACAATACCAGCAGAATCAGAACCAGTGCCCAGCACACCTGAACAGAGCCACTGCCAAACAAAACCCCCAAGGAAAGAAGTTTTATCCAAATAGCTGCAAGGCTACTATATCACACTATATCTACTATGCCACTATGCATTTCCTACAGAAGTCAAGAGGAAAAACACTGCAACCTCTGACCTTCCCTGGCCTGACGCCAGGTCTCTATAAGGGCAAAGACCATCTTCTGCAGCTGAGGAAACAGTTTGAAGACCCGCAAGAGTTTGGCCAGTCGGAAGAGACGAAAGGCGCGCAACACTGAAAGGGCAGAGGTATCCAGGTTCAGTACCCCAGCGTTGCGAAGTTGGACGATCACCAGTGAATCCAACAAGGAGAGTACGATGATCACGAAATCAAAGAGGACCGAAAACTCCTTGAGACTAAGGCACATGGCCGCCAAGACGCTCCGAACTCCACCCGTTGGACAGGGAGGAAAAATCCAGCACCTCATTCTGGACCTCAAGCTGGAAAAACGACTCACTCTCCGGTTGGCTTGCTCGAAAAAGTTGAAATCCGTGTCGGTATCCTCGGGTTGATGAACATAGTTCAATCCAGCTTGCAAGATGCCGCGTAGAATGAACTCAATGGTAAATATAATAGTGAAGCCCAGGTCAATCCAATATATCAGGGTGTTGTCGTCATTCTGTGTTGCCTGTATACCAACGAAAGCTCCGTTGATCACGATCATACTCCCAAAGAGCACATCAATCGGCATGACCAGCTGTTGTTCCTCTGAATCTAGATTGAACTGGTTTGCCGTCTCTTCCATCTTCCGCACGTCCAGCGATGACACCGCTACTTCAGATTTCAATCCGGGTGGTGCCCATTTCACGTCGTTGTTGAGCCGCAGAAGTGTAAATGAATTTTCGGCTCTGGTGTACAGCACACTGAGGACATCCTTGGATTTTGCTTCCCTTAAAAATAAGTATAGCCGCACATTGCCGCACATTCGCAATGGATCCCCCAAAAGCTAGATCTGACTTCAAGGAAAAAAAAACAGAAATCACCCGGCATTCTTCCAGGCATCGTAGGCAAAGGCACAGAGATTCCGGCCACTGCGTTCAATTTTCACCATGGAGGTCTCCAGTTGCCGCAAACTCACCGTGAAGAAGAGCAGATCCACCGGTCTCAACGCGGTACGCGCCTTGTCTTTCTTGACGCTGTTGGCGATGCTGCGAGTGAAGTAGGACTGGAGCTCAATGATACCAATGGCCTGGTTTTTCGATGTATACAAGGAGGTACGCTGTTGCCAATCAGAAATATGCTGTTGGATTGCATATTAGACTTCGAATAGAATGGGATACCCTCTGGTAATTTAACATAGCTATTGAACATGGCCATTAATAGTGGATTTTCCCATTAAAAATGGTGATTTTCCATAGCTATGTTAAATTACCAGAGGGTATAACTTAATAACGAACCAATGTAGATTTGGGATGATTTGGGATGATTTGCTACCATTAACGGCCATTGAATATGTCATCTGGAGAATGATGATCAACTACTGGACTTGGGGGTACAAACGTTTTTGGACAATGACAAAACCACTTCAACCGTCTAAGGCTCACTTGCAGCATTTCTCACACCCCCAAATGTTGGCGTCAAACTAACGCCAGCATTCCCAAAGAAGTGACATGGAACCACAGTGGTTGGAATAATGAGTGAACATAGTGAGCAACTTCCAGAAAATGCCAACAATTCAATTATATATCCTATTTGACCAGTTTTTGTGATTTTTTCTCTAGAATTTCTTGGAAGTTCCTCCGATTTTCCAGTCGGCCTCGATGATGCCATCGATCTCCACATTCCCATCCTCCTCAAAGGCAGCAGCCAAGGCCTTGAAATCCTCAGGGCCAAGGTCCAGGATCCGGAGCAAGGCCTTGATGTTGCTGTCCTCGACTCAGCAAAACGATATCTTCCCAGATTCCAGGGCAACAAAGGCCACTTATCCCGGATGAAACATAAGAATACATAAGAATCATAAGACAAGTTGGACATAGTTGGACTATCTCATCACTGCATATGATTGGATTTTGGTGATTTTGGATGTTTTTGGATGTTTTTGGGGTGTACTGTATAATTGTGATTGATGTTTTTCTGGGTATCATTGTTGGGACTTTGGCGGGCATACTGGCATACCCAATTTTCAGATACAGCCAGGCGTATTTTGAAGATTTTTGAAGGCTGTTTCCCCATTCAATCTGTACAATTTCTGGTGGATCAACATGGAAAAATGATTGAAAAAGGATGGAACATCAACATGCCAAGGCTTTCAAGATTTGAACCCCCCCCAAGCCTCCAAGGCTTGAGTGAACTCCTCCTTTGAAATCTGCCGGTTGTTCTTCAGCAGATAGGTGCCATGCTTCAGAAGCTGCTGCCGAAACAATTCCAAGGCCTCCTGTTGTGAGACCAGCCGCTCCGCTCCCTGAGTTCGACTTTGCCGCGCTTCCAACTTGAAAGCTGTGTTGCAAAGAATTCCCACCACCAAATTCATCAAACCCAAGCCGGTGATGCAAGCACTCAACAGGATGACCACAGCTATCGCTGTTCCATGAGCCTCACCCAAATCAAACGCCGCAGTCCTGGCTCGACCCTTTAAGGATTGGCAGTGAAAGCCTGCTGGAAGAATTGGAAAGGACTTCTGCGTGAGACTTGTTGAACTTTTTTCGGCTAAATGGCTGATGCGGCGGATGAGGAACCAAGATTCCTACATACATACTCTCCTTTCATATGAATATATGAATCATAGAATCATTCATTATAAGTATTAACTGAACAGGTATTAAGTGTATATATATACAACTGACATGTGAGACTCCCAACATTATAACCTATATACTATATACATCTATATAATATCTTTTCGCCACCAACATCCTGGCAATGGTAACCCATCGATCAAAGGTAGCAACCTGGATCAGCGTCCACATGGCAGATGGCAAAGTGGTGAAGTCTGGGAGGATTGCAGTGGTGGCCGCCAGGTTCCATTGGGACATGGTCACCAGAAGGACGCTCAGGATGAAGATGGTCATGCCCAGCAGCAGCACGGCCCAGAACAAGGTCTGTAAGGAGCTCAAGATGCCCTCAACCAACATGGCCAATTGACGGAAGGCCCGCAGCACACGTACCATCTTCACCAGCTTCAGTAGGCGGTACAGCCGGGCGAGGGTATAGACGCCACCACTGCCGACGCCGCCAAGAACCCAAGTGTCTACGATGCTTAAGCACACGACCAAAAAGTCAAATTGGATCCAACTGTCGCTCAGTAGCATGATGCCAAAGTGTCGGATGCCACTGATGGCTGCTCGGAGGCAAAACTCAATAATGAAGGCTATCAAAAAAATGTTGTCAAGCACCTGCCACAGCAAATCGGACCCACACTGACAGTCAATTCGCACGCCCATGGCGATGGCATTCACCAGAACAACCAAGCCTTGCTTTGGGAAAGGTGAAGCAGCAGCCGACACATGTTGAAAATCCCAACTATAGTTCATTTAACCCAAGCTCGATGCCACTCCTGCCACCATCCCTTGAAAATCCTGTGGCTATCATATGACATCATATGGTATCATTTTGTATTCCTTACTGGGCCACTTTTGGACCCTTACCGTCAAGAAAAAATTGGGCCTTTCGCAGTACCAAGCGGCCAAAAATGGCATCGAAGGTCGCCCACCTCCGGGCCTTTTGGATTTCGTTGGTCACCTCTCGCATCAGCTGAATCTCATCGGGCGGAAGCTCAAAGATCGTTGTCGCCTGGCGGGCCACGAAGAAAGGCTGTTTGGGGGCGGATCCCCAAATATCGCCACAATATTTTGGATGCATAGGATATTATAGGATGATAGTATAATTAGATGATGTTAGATGTAAATAGTGATTGTGATGAAGCCATTGACAAATTGTGGCCCTCCGGTTGCCTGCACCCTGGGGCGCAATGCAAAGTGTCGCCAACGATACACTGCACCACTGACTGTGGCATCAGCTGCTTTGTCGCCAGGACCATTGAAGTATGCAAAAAATTTGGCCGGGACTGGAATGTGCAAACCCTCGGCCTCCAGGATGCCTTCAATGCGGTTGTCAATGTCCACAGTGATCTTCTTTTGCAACAGCCTGAATCTGACCTTCACAGTTTTGTTGAGCGGAATTGCCCTTGTGGCCAGTTTTGCTCGGAAGTGACCGTGGCGGATGAAAATCCAAAGATGGGTAGAATTGGGTGCCACACAGATCCGTGGCAGTTGGCTCCCGACCACACCTCCGACAGAGAAATGGGCAATGCCTCTCCGATCTTTCTGTCGATTGTGCAGGCGAAGGTCGAAAAAAAAATCGAAATTATTGGAGGAATCAATTTTCTTGGCCACCAACCCCCTCTGACACGCTTGCGCAGTGGCACGCAGAGTGGTGGATGATGTGGCCCCTGGGATGGTTGAAAGTGGATCTTGTTCTGCGGCCACCTCTCCATCATCCCACATCCCGTGGGCTCCATGCACCTCCTCCTGATCAGAATCCGCTTCACTGCTGTCCTCGCCATCGCCCAGTAAGGTTCGATCCCAATCGGCTTCCTCTTGGAAGCCGCTCTGCTTAAATTCCATATATGCAGTGACATCCTGGCTGACTTCATTCTACCCCCAGAAAGTCGCCAAACCATGTCGGCATGAAGTCAACGATCGGTAATTTGGAAACCACTAGCCGGTTTGATTTTTTTCCCCCACCTGCCAGGTGAGGGTCTCTAGATTTTATCAGAGTTGCTTCCTTAACTGCGAGTTCCAAATATCGGTGGGCACTGCCGGACTTCAACCGCGAGCGCCAGATGTCAGAGTTGAGGTCCGGCAGTGCCCATGTCAGAGAGAATGACAGAATAAATGCCAGATAGAATGCCAGAATACATGCCAGAATATATATATATAATAGATGCCAGATAGAATGCCAGAAAGAATGTCAGCATATATGCCATAAAGAATGTCAGAGTATATGCCAGAAAGAATGTCAGAATATATGTATATGTATATATATACACATATGTGTGTTTATATATGCATATACATATATATATATATATAAACACATGCATACCATACCATAACATAACATAAGATAAGATAACATAACATAACATAACATATATATATATATATAGATATATACACACAGACACATACACATACACATACCCATATATACACATACATTACATTACATTACATTTTTACATGTGCTTTCACATTTAAACTATACATGTACATTTACATTTACCATTACATTACATACCATACCATAAGATTACATACATACAGACTTTCAGATGGTATGTCAGACACTATGTCAGAATAATGTGGCAGCGTGGGGATCACTCGAAGAAAATGAAGAAAGTAATTGTCCTATCACTACAGTCACTACACCCCAAAAAATGGTAGTTGGAACAACATCCAACATCATCCAACATCAAAAATCGTGACCAACTCAACAACTCATCAAACCCGCTCCGTTTGCGTCAGCGCCCTTTCACTGGGCAAGGTCTGATCCGTGGTTTCAGCATCCACCAAGCTGGCGAAGGGCTTCTCCATCTGTGGCTCCATGCGTTTTGGCCCCTCCCTGCGGCTGTGCCCAGCATGCTTTGGCTGGGGCCGGAGCTGGAGCCAACGTTGCCATCCCGGTGCTGTTTCTATCCATGGAATTCATGGAAGCAGAAAACATATGGAAAAACATGGAAAAAAACGGCGCAATACAACCAGAAAAACATCGCCATTCAGGAGCAAAACAAATGAATTCCACTGTTTTAGGCATGGTCCATGGTAGTTATCACGATCCCAATCAGCAAGGCAATGGATCCTGCGAGTCTCAAGTAATGTCAACTACGTGGCTTCCTCAACGGGCATCGAAGAATCGAAGATCGCGTCCAAAATCGTAGCTTTTCTTACCCTTGGCGGCCAGTCTTCATCAACTCCCTCAGCAGCATGGTCCTCAGCGGTCACGCTAGGACTCCAGGACTCCAGGACTCCAAGACTCCAAAACCTTTTCTTCTGCGGAGTGCCCGACAAATATGCTGAAGGCGGGAGGATGCAGCTAAAAACCACTGCCTGAGTCGGTGTGGTTAAATCATGTTAAATCGAATCAATCGAGAATAAACAAAACACCAATGATCGCAGCGATGCTTCACGAAAAAAGTCTTCAAATGTATTCAAATGCCATATGTGATGATTCTGGAACCTTGTGATATCTTGTGACTTTGTGCATTTTCGACATTTCATATATTCTAGCCACTATATGATTACATGATATTACATGGTTATTCCGTGTAGAGCCCCACTGAGCTCCGAACCCCATGCTCCGACCTGGGGCGTGTTCTGTTGGAACCCCAACGGTGGCCCTTCGGGGGTTTCGCCCTTGAAATTGGCAACTTCGTAGTACTTCGACTTTCAGTTGCACCCAAGTTGGTCTACTCAAATCATCACAAGTCATCTTAAGTCATCATGAATCATCATCAGTTGTATTTTACAATTAGGTCTGGATGCACGGCCAACCTTCGTGGCAATCCGGAAGAAACAACTTACCAATCTTGCGCTGAGTCGGAGTACCTGTCTGGCTTCTCGTTCGCACCTGCCAAGTTCTCAGAATCAGAACCCAACCTTTTCGCACCCGTTTCCTCCGTTGTTCAAATGTCAACTCCTACATTTCAAAATGGAACAGGTGCACCTGCTGACAGATCGCTTGGCTTTGCTTCTTGCCTAAAAATCCAACAGATTCCTAGTCCCATGGTGCCAAGCTCACGACATCACCTCAGTCCCTGGCTGTCCTGTCTGTGGACGCTCTGCGAGCAATCTCGCCACATCAGTTTCAAGCAAGACCTCTGGTGTTTCAGATGAACATCTTAGAACCATCAATACCTGCTGTCAGAATCTTAGTGCAGGACTTGGTCCCAGGATTCCAACTTCTCCTGTGCCAAGTAGGAAGCACAAACAACACACCAATCGCAAAGAAGCAACTGTTTCGGCCAAATGTTTGCAAATACATATGCTATATGTGTTTTTCACCTATGGATATATATATATATGTATCTGTGCGCGCACACACACACAGACACATGCGTGTACATATATATATATATAGTTATATAATGTTATATATATATAATTATATATATACATGTATAAAGATTATTAAAGATGCGTGTAAGTGTAGACTTGTGTATGTATTTTCAAATCTTTCATGATGGCTTACCGCAGCTGTCCGGCGGAACAGCGGACCACTCCAAGTCTTTTGGACCTCGGGCTGCCAATGATGGATCGCACATGATCGCACCGTGGGCTGTTTGTGTCATACTTCAACATTTCAAGGACCAAACACACACTGAATTGTTTTTGAATTTTAAACCAACAACTTTTTCAACATACTGTACACCAATGGACAAATATTGGAACATATTGGAACCATCCCTTTTAACAGTTTTTTACAAGTTCCCCGCAACCTGGATTGCCCACCGACGCAAAAATGGAACTTTTCCAGCGTGGATGTGCACAAAATGTGAAGCGTGTTTTATGAGAGAAATAAGGTCCTTTTTGATCTTTTTGGTGTTCACTTTGGGCTTGGAGTGTGGGATTATAGGCTTTTAGGTTTTTAAATGTTTTTAAGGTCTTGGGTGTTTGCTCGGCTTAATTTCGCAAAACCAAAGCAAAAAAACACACATTTCCGCGGGCTCTGGAGAAAAAGGCTAGCGGCTAAATCAATCCATTGCCATGTCCCTCTGAGTCGCAGGCAAACAGCCACAGCTCGATATGAACCTGACAGCCTCAGAGGGTATCAGGTCTCGGATAGTTTTGCCATGGCACCTGAACACTTTGGGTTCCCTCACCGCACCATGGTGCACTCCGAGAAGTCCGTCAAGGACAGGCCCAGCAAACTTTGGGACACCTCCTGCAGAGGCAGCTCCCTTTAAGCGGGAACCCGGGGTTGGGCTTGCCATGTGGCCGGTCCTCATAGGTGGCTTTCAGGTATGGAGGGTACACCACCTGAGGCCCGCCCAGATTTGTTAGGGTTTCCATAGCCCTCATCCTGTAGGGCGACGAAGTCATACCTCCATTGGGTTCCAAGCATCGAAACCAGGGAGTGGAAGGACCACATCCTTGGTGTGCTTGTGATATTGTTGAACATGATGGGGAGGCCAGGCTATTACAACCATGTCTATCCATATCTATATATCATGTCGCAACCGACCAGTTGCCGAGCTGCTGTCAACTTCACACCCTCCAGGTCCTCCTTACTGAGGATTCGCCTCAGATAGCGCAAGCGTTCCAAGCGAAGTCAGTGGGATCACCGTGGAACCCAAAAACTCCAGCGACCATTTGACCCATTGATGGATTTGTAAAAAATCCTGGTTCGATCCGGTCCAATTTTTGGAAGCCGTCTGCAACAAGACAGCCCCAACAACGGCGGAGGAAAAAACAACTGGATGTCACAACAACAACAACAGCAACAACAACAACAACAACACCAACACCAACACCAACACCAACACCACCAACAACAACAACAACAACAACCAACAACAACCAACAACCAACAACCAACAACCAACAACCAACAACCAACAAACAACAAACAACAAACAACAAACAACAAACAACAAACAACAACCAACAACCAACAACCAACAACCAACAACCAACAACCAACAACAAACAACAACAAACAACAACAAACAACAACAAACAACAACCACAACCAACAACCAACAACCAACAACCAACAACCAACAACCACCACCACCACAAACAACACCACCACCACCACCACCACCACCACCACCAACAACAACAACAACAACCACAACCACAACCACAACCAACCACCACCACCACCACCACAAACAACAACAACAACAACAACAACAACAACCACAACCACCACCACAACCACAACCACAACCACAACCACAACCAACAACCACCACCACCACAAACAACAACAACAACAGCAACAGCAACAGCAACTGCAACAGCAAGAACAAGAACAAGAACAAAAACAAGAACAAGAACAACAACAACCAACAACAACCACCACCAACAACAACCACCACCACCAACAACAGCAACAGCAACAGCAAGAACAAGAACAAAAACAAGAAGAAGAATAAGAATAAGAAGAAGACGAAGAAGAAGAAGAAGAAGAACAAGAAGAACAAGAAGAACAAGAAGAAGAAAAACAAGAAGAACAAGAAGAACGCGAAACAAAAAGAACACCAACACCAACAAAAAAAAACAACAAAAAAACAACAAACAACAAGCAACAAGCAACACGCAACACACAACAAGCAACAAGCAACAAACAACAACGAACAACGAACAACGAACAACCACAACGACAACGACAACGACAACTGCAATGACAACCACAACCACAACCACACCAACAGCAACCACCACCACCACCACCACCACCACCACCACCACCACAACCCCAACCCACAACCCCAACCCACAACCAACCAACAACAACCAAGAACAACCAACAACTACCAACAACTATCAACAACAAAAAACAAACTACCAACTACCAACACCACTGCCACAATGACGATGACAACTACTGGTAGTGCTAGTACTAGTGCTAGTGCTTGGGCTAGTAGTAGTCGTCGTCATCGTAGTATAGTAGTAGTAGTTATAGTTAGTAGTAGTAGTTATAGTTAGTAGTAGTAGTAGTAGTAGTTATAGTTAGTAGTAGTAGTAGTTATAGTTAGTAGTAGTAGTAGTTATAGTTAGTAGTAGTAGTAGTTATAGTTAGTAGTAGTAGTAGTAGTAATAGTTAGTAGTAGTAGTAGTAGTAATAGTTAGTAGTAGTAGTAGTAGTAGTAGGTAGTAGGTAGTAGGTAGTAGGTAGTAGGTAGTAGGTAGTAGGTAGTAGGTAGTAGGTAGTAGGTAGTAGGTAGTAGGTAGTAGGTAGCAGGTAGTAGGTAGTAGGTAGTAGGTAGTAGGTAGTAGGTAGTAGGTAGTAGGTAGTAGGTAGTAGGTAGTAGGTAGTAGGTAGTAGGTAGTAGGGAGTAGGTAGTAGGTAGTAGGTAGTAGGTAGTAGGTAGTAGGTAGTAGGGAGTAGGTAGTAGG